AAGACCAAAAAAAAAGGGTGAACTTCTGAGAGAAACTGGCGAAGTTATGCGGAAAACTGCACAGAATGGAAGGTTTTGGACAGGGGCTGAAGCAGTTTCAAGGGCAAAAACTCTTTTCTATTCAAGCTTTATGAACCAAAAAGCGCGTAACTTCGTTATCTTCTGTACGATTTAGAAAACCCAAAAAGCCCCTGAAAGACGATTCACTTCAAAAATGAGGTATACTCTGAAATGAATGAGGTAAATTGTGGAATTTGGCGTGAAAAACTGAAATCGGCCTGTGAACTTAAGAGCTACGGCAATGTTTGGCAACGTCGCATTGGAGGTTTTTATGACATTTGACGTTTTAATTGAATTTAAGTGAGTGTAAACTTTAGGAGCCATGCGGTTAAAAACGAAAAATTCGCCCTTAAACCCAGAATTTACGTAAAAATCTTGCAACATCGCCTTTGAGTTTTTGCCGTTATCCGTTAGTGGAAAGTTTTGCCAGCGAACAGCTAGATTTGAACGATTCATTCAAGTAAAAATGGACGGTTTTAAAAAACTTTGAAACTTTGAAGTTTTTGCAACAAAATCCATTTTGAAAATTGTAACTCTTTGACTCATAACTCTTTTTCCACTCGCGCGATTTCGGAAAATCGAAAGTTGACTTGAAGAGCACAAGATGGCGAATATTTCAGCTTTTTACTCGTAGCAATAGGTTGACAAATCTAAAAGTTGGACAGAAAACTGCACAGGAATCCTGCATCAGATTTATTAAATCCATAACTCTTTCATTAGTGGGCCGATTTAAAAAACAAAAAAAAATGTTTAAAAGGGCATCAGAACTTGAAACGGACGCTTTTGAATAAATTTGAAATTTTGAAGTTTATGGAAAATATATTATTTGAAAACCGGAACTCAATGGCGCATAACTCCTTTTCTACTCTCGCGATTTCGGAAAACCGAAAGTTGATTTGCAGAACAAAAGATTCCAAACATTTCAGTTCTTTAATCGTTGAAATCGGTTGGCAAATCTCGAAGTTGGGCAGAAAACTGCACAAGAATTCTGTGTCAGATTTATGTAGGGTTTTTTTATCCACAACTCTGTTATTTTTGGGCCGATTTCAAAAAATCAACAAGCGTTTCAAATGGCATCGAATACTTTAAAATGGACGCATTTGAAAACTTTGAAACTTTGAAGTTTTTGCAACAAAATCAATTTTGAAATTTGTAACTCTTTGGCTGATAACTCTTTTTCTACTC